AGAAAGAAAGTTCTAATTTAAGCTTTCAGCTTCTGGAACATTGTAGAAGCGCAACTGTTGTCTTTCATGGATGTCAATCAGAGTCCCAGCTCCTTATATATAATGTGGGGGAGGGATGTGGTCTGATAAGACTGTTATCCGGGATTTGTTCAATGGAGCCAGAAATCTTCTACGTGAATGGATGTTGGGAGTGGAGAAAAGTTTGAAAGCACAAAGTCTTGTAAATCTAAGGAAGGCAATGCCTCACTTTTTGTTAAAACAGTACTATTTACCCTCTCTAATGGTTGAATCTTTTCCCCTTTTGGGGAGGAATTGTAAACAAATGTTTACTTAATCTTTACCAATGGGATGCACAATGGCAGCAACATGAAAATCTTTGACTATAACTCATCGGTATCTTACAAATGTGATACAACTAAAGATAACATGAATGGAGTCTGGAATGGGTCTGCCCCTGAATGCAAAGGTGACTGTCTGTTTTTTTCTTCCTCTTGTTCTACTTTCTCCCACCAGAAAAAAACAATATCTTGATTGCTAGGCAAACCCATAAACATGAGAAAATTGAGTTAGCCATTAATCATCTAAAGATATAACTTGTGGGAAACCTGGTTGCTGTTGGAAACATAATCCTTAAAAAATGGCTGTTGCTTCACGTACACTCAAGGAGGAAAAATTAAGATCTCACGGGTCACCGTAATTCTGTGGTTTCCTAACTGCTGAGTGCTTTACAATTGTAATAACTTGTTTCTGCTGTGGGTTTTATGTAACTTCTGGGTTTCTTAACAAGAAAAATGAAGTCTATCTGAAACTAATGTCCCATCCTCCACCTCCATGTGCCACCCCCCCCCCCGCCAGCTCACCTCCGCCTCCTCCCCCGAGCACGCTGCCGCTCCGCTTCTCCCCCCTCCCTCCCAACCTGGGAGGGAGGAGTAGGAGGGGAAATGTGGCACGCCCCGGGGAGGAGGCGAGGCCGGGGATTTGGGGAAGGGGTTGGAATGGGGCGGGGAAGGGGGGCGCGGGAAAATTGTTTTGCTTGGAGCGGCAAAAAACTTGGAACCGGTCCTGATGCTCAGGGTGTTGTATACATGGTAAATGTAAAATTTTAATGTACTGCAGTTCTGTATCAAGCTCATTCAGTAAACTAGCTTCAAGGCTGTAATGAAAACAAGTACATCCAAATTGTCCCCAATAAAATAATTTGTGGCATCTCAGAAAGGAGTATTCTGTTACAACAGACTACTGAATATCTTTCATAGTTAATTTTTCCCTTTCTTGTCTGTCTCTATTGCTAGGCACTTGTGATTCTCCTCCAAGATTGAGTTTTGCTGAGCTGCCTGGACCAGTGAACAATTCCTATCCTGTTGGGACCAAACTGAAATACTCTTGTCACCCAGGATACGTGTTTGGCTCTGGAAAGTCTCCTTTTGTTACATGTCTTGAAAATTCAACATGGTCAGTAGACCCTGAGTTTTGTGTAGGTGAGTGTCTTTGTTGCTTTTCCATTTCAATTGATGTGCAAGCCATCTTGACACAATTAGAAATCTCTCTTCTATTGGGTAAGTGGTTCACAGTTCAATACTGATATCCATAAACACTTTCTAAATACATTTTGGACAGTTCTTTGTTATATTTGTAGTTGACTGTGTATTTAAAAAAGGAAAAAAAAAAGGCAGACTGCAGACTGCTTCTCTGTCTTTGTAGGCTGCTTTAAGAGCAGCTAAAATACAAAATTCCAGTAACTTCAGCCTTCTGTGCTGAATACTCCCCTCTTAATCCTACTGAGGAATTGGTTTACTACATTTCTTCCTGGTTTTTAGGCCATGTGCTGAATACCTGCCTTTCTAGAACATCGTCTTGTTATGTAGTAGTAGATCTAAACTTAAGAATAGTGCTGTTCTTCTCTACCAGAGACCCCATTGTCCACACAATGTTCCTGTGATTGGGAGGCGTTCAGTGCACACCAGTGAAGTTACTGGAATTTGATACTCTACCTACGCTGGTCAGCTTTAAATGGAGATATAAAATAAAAGACATCTAAGCTTTAACCCTCTTTAATTTCCCTAATGATCTTGGTTCTTACCATCTCACATCTTTTAACTTCATTAAAGTGGGTGCCACAGTCCTGCCCCTTGGAAAACATTCCCAGCTCACGAAAAGTCTATAGGGAAAGAACTTTCTTGCTGCTTTTCCTCACTTTTTTTTGTAGTTTGTTTTTTCTTCCTGCCTGATGACTGCTTACTACTTAAATGCAAATTAAGCAGAGCACACATTCATTTGAGACAGAGCTGTTTGCCAACTTATGTTGTGGTTTGCAACATGAGTTAACGTTATACAGGGAAATCTTATAACTTCACATACACCGTTGCCATGCATTTTATCGGGACAACATTGACCAGTAAACTATAAATTTTCAGATACCTCACAAGGCATACTTTGTACAAATATTATTACAGCAGTCTCCAGGGGGTGGACACAGGTGCATTTTCTTACAGTAGAATTTGTTTTGTTCCTAATGAACTTCAAAACCTTATTCTTATTGTCTGACTCTTTCACTGATGTCTTTAGCTCCCCATATCAATTTTTACCTTTCATAATTTATGCCATTTATCCTCCTCTCTCCTCTTCCCCCCCCCCCCAATGCATTATGTTGCTTTTTATTTGTAATTGCTGCCAGTTGAGGTCAATGGATCTACCCACATGAATAGGGTTATGTATATGAGTTTTCAGGATCTGGGCCTTAACATGTACAATAGGAATATTTGCACTTATATTAAATCTGCAAGGGGATCTTAAATCTCTAGATTCAGGATATAAGGCAACCACTGTCTGTGTGGGATTAGGAAGCATCATCCCACTTCCACTTCTCCTCACTTCCCATGGGCATGTTACAAAACTATCCATAATGTGGGTTGTAAGTTTTCCTCTGTAGCCGTTGGTGCTGACCGCTGTTGTACAGGACAGATACTGGACTCCAAGGTCTTTGGCTTTGATCTGCCATGGTATTTGCTATGTTAGGGGGTGCAAGTTAACATATCCCCTTTCTCCCGTTAAGGTAATATGAGGTAACGCTAATATTAGTCTTCTTCTTTTCTAGGAAGAGAATGTAAATCACGAGAACTAGAAAATGGCAGGGTTCATTTCACGGATCTCCGGTTTGGTGCAACAGCAAACTTCTCCTGTAATGAAGGGTGAGTGGCAAGTTGCTTCTTTTGACTAATGAAAAGAACCCAGATTGGTGTAAAAGTGCTGGTGAAGTCTGGCAAAATGAGACTAGAAAGCCTGCTTAACTTCAAGAACACAAGTGAATGGGGGCTATAAATCTGTATCCATGGGCTTGGTCCTTGTTAAGAATTACACCTGCGATTTTTCAAAGGAGTTGAAGGAAGAGAGCCACCCAGCTGCGGTTGTCATGCAATGGGAGATGGGCATCTAACTTGCTCAGGTGCTTTTGAAGATCCCAGCCTAGAGCCCCCATGGTATCATCCAGCAGGGGTTGGATCTTGGGTCATGAGATTGAGTCCCACCTCAGGGGTCATGTGGCACTTCCTGACCCGTGCCATCTCTCCCTTGTTACAGGGGTTTCTGTCTGGGTGCTGGGAGCTAGTGGCAGAATATTGCCCATAAAATGCCGCACCAGGTAGAAGCAGACCTCTTCCTGCTCTACCATAGCAAATATTTGTCTCTCCCTCCCTTATAGATGTCAGTATTACCAAGGATAGCCTCAAGTGTATGTGTTGCCTTTGTCCATATGGCTTATGTTGCCAAGCCTTGGGGAATGAAAAATAGCTTGTGACTTCATTGCACTGAGCAGGTGTGTGTTGGATTTTTGAGGTCTCAAAGTTAAAGGCCAGAAGCGTATATCCCATATATACTAACACTTCCCAGGGACCCACATACTAAACTCAACCAAAATTAGTCTAAAATACTACAGCCCACAGGAGCTTAGACCATTATGTGCTATGGGCAGAGAATAGGAGAGCCTGAGGTGCATAAATTCCTCGCGCCCCTGTCGTGGCAGGGAAATGTTGAAGTGAGATATATTGAGATAATCCTGACAAGTGACCTGTTCTCACATGCTACAGAGGAAGGCAAGAAAACCCCCAATGTCACTGCCAAGCTGACTGGGAGTGGGGAGGAATTTCTTAACGACCCCACATACTAGAGCCTGAGCATGTGAGCAAGAACCAGCAAGCCGCCAAGCACTGAGGTGAGAGTGTTTGATGCCACCTCAGAGTCCTGGTCTCCCCCATCCAGTGTCCCATCTTCAGCCATGGCCATCCCTGATGGTTCAAAGGAAGGAGATAAAAGAAACCAACTCAGAATACATTGGGTGGGGAATCCCTGCCTGACTGCTGCAGGGGACTGGCTGAAATCCTGAAGCGTGAGCCATTAGGAACATAACACACACACTGGAAACAAACCCCAGGGTTGCTGAGCCCTGCCATCACAAGCAACCCATCATATAATTGCACCCATTAACTTGCCTGGCGCGCTCTCTCTAAAATTAC